GCCAGGTTTCCGTAAGTGCAATAACTGAGAAAGACTCGGCGCGAGCCGCACAGAAAGCATCTTTGAGTTTGGTTTTTAAGCCTCTTACATTTTGGTAGAGAAAGGAAGCACAATCTAACGAGACTGGTCCTCTCTGTCTCCTCTCTGAAAATTTGCATTGGACGGTTTTGCCCCCATACGACGAGGATGAAACTCCTTGACAGCAATGCCTACTGGCCAGAGGTTAGGATCCAGCAGGCCCTTCAAAAGTGATTCTTTAACCCCAATTTTAAATGAAACCACATCTTCATTTTTGTCCAACACCAAGCATTTGACATCAGGAATGGAGAGCTGATTCTTCAAATAGTTAGAGATCTGTTCCTCAGTGGTACTCGGATCACATCGACCCAGATATAGCCACTGGCGTCTCTCACCTGCAGAAAAAAGACCTCCATCAGCACCTGTGCCAATTAATACAGGATTATTACTTGAGCGGTCCGATACTCTCACAGGATTAGGCACTGATTGGCGCTCTATGCTGCGGATCGGTCGCTGGGACTTTTGCTGTCCAGCTAGTTGCAGGCTATTAGATGACTGAAAGCTTCTTGATTCATTCCTGATGGGTACCGCCCGCAGATTAGGAGGGAACTGAGATGGGGTTTGCGAAGAACCTGAGCAGCTTGATGCAGTTTTCATAGAATTCAGGGTTGCAGTAAGCAGCTGGAACTCATTCTCAAGTTTGAGTAACTTTGTCTGTAAATCTTTGTTACATTGTTCCAGTTCCCTTAGCTTCATATCATAAACAGCAGATGCCGCTGAGTTGGGCATGATAACGCTAGTATTGTCTATTTCCGAAAGATTATTAACTGCAGAAGTGATTGGTTTTTCCAGTGAAGAAAGAGTGGCTTTGATTACACCAACAGTGTCAGTAACACCATCCAGTTTCAACTTTAAATCATTATAATTAGTTGCAAGTTTGGTGTAGAGTGTGTCACACACCTCACTGGTGATATTTCTGATTAGCACTTTCAAGCCGCCGCCAACATCATTACCAAGCGACTTCACGGAATTTACACAGCCACTGCACGCATAAAGCATTACTCTGGATTTTAACCGGGTCACCTGAGCCTCTGAGGTTGAGAACCTTGAACAGGCCACGCAATTCCAGGACCCACAGAAGTCACAAATTATCTTGTATTCCACCTCTTTATCTGTCAAATTGATACGACATTTGGAGCACGCCGACATTGTTCTCAATAATTTGAGCCGCACGCTGAATGTAATATGGGACAGGCTATATATGGCAATAATCGAGGGTGAAACTGTGTTCAAATTAGATGAAACGCACTATAGATTTTATTGCTTTCAGCAATCTATACCACTCGTTGCTGTTCCTTTTTTTTTTTTTATTTAAATAAATTTATTCAAATAATGTATTCAAACAATTTACACAGGTACCACAATTTTTTATCCAAGTAACCTTGATACTTTTGAAGCAATGCAGACTGAGAACAATGGGATAAGTAACTAATACATGATAAACAGAATGTAACAGTTCTTATAAAATTGCCCCGCCTTTGGTAGTTTTTCCCTTTGTAAGACCACCAAAAACTATAGTAGAAAGCATGCCTAAATCTTGGGTTCTGGGAAAGTCAGATACAGGATGGATGCGAGGTGATGTATTTTATGAATATATCGCCAACGATTTTGCTAACTGGCTTCAAGAAAATCAAATAGAAAGGCCCATTATTTTATTCATTGATGACCAGAAATCCCATCTTACATTGGCTGTTAGCGAGATATGCACTCAGTTAGGAATTATTTTGTATGTGCTGCCTCCAAACACAACACACCTACTCCAACCTGCGAATGTGAGTGTTTTCTTTCCAATGGAGGCACAACGGAGAAAGACGCTTAGAGAGTGGCACAGAATTCCGGGAAATGAAAACATATCCGTTACCCGAGAAAAATTTTGCCCTTTATTTCAAGTAACTCTCGAGAAACATGACATGAAAAAAAGCATAACTAATGGATTCAGAAAATGCGGACTATTTCCTCTGGATCCTAATGCAGTAGACTATACGAAGTGTATCAAGAACGTCTTAGAAAATTTACACAAGGAACACGAAAAAAAAGAACATATAAGTGAAGAAGAACTGACTTTGGCAGAAAAGGTAATTACAAGAATTAGAGACAAACTAGAGGAACGTAATGTTGATGTTGAAGTAATTGTTGAAGTTATTCGGAAAGAAATTGAAAGCAAGAAGAAAAACGAGCCCATTTCCCAGGAAAACGGAAAGGAAAATGTAGGAGAGGAAGTAAATCAAAATGACAAAAGCCAAGTTTTACAAATTGGAGATATTGTATCTTTGGAAGACGTACAGATACACCAATGTGCAATTACAGAAATTCCTGATACAGCTAACAATCAAAGCATGCATGACTTTATTGAACTAATGGACGCAGACAGCTTCAACTTAACTAACGAACTAAACAAAATTAACTATAATGACACAATAGAATGGGAGTTTGAGGATACTAGTTTTATCCTAAATACTGAAAATAATAATGATATAATAATTGAGAATAAATCTTCACAGGAGAAGATAGTAGATGAGATTGTGATGAGTATTAACGACGCCAAATCAAAAGACTATATAAATGAAGCTGAAAATAAGAAATCACAAGTAGAAATGATGGAAACTAATACGATTGCAGAGGCAGTGACAGATGATATAATTATAGTATCAATCGAAAAGACTAATGATATTGAAAATAATGAACTTGAAGAGCATGGCGAACACCTTGAGAATGGAAATTTAGAAAATGCAAACATAGTATCAAACAAAAATACCGATTTAGGGGATAAAGTACCTGAAGAAAATTGCGCACACTTTGAAAATAGGAACTTAGATGATATACCTCAAGTATTGTTGACACTGGAGACCTAAATAATATATCAGGAGTATTGAAAGAAAAGACTAACGCAGAAAATGATGAAGCTAAGGGACATGATATTAGCTTTAATAATGAAAATCTTGATAGATACCTAGATAAAGAGATAATAATCAACAATATGTCGAATTCTGAAGATGAACATATGGATAAAGAAGAAACAACTTATGAGAATAAAAAGGCTAATAATATAAAAGATAAAAACGGAAATGAATTGATGAATGAAATTGACTTGAACCTCGTTGAAACAGCTCAAAAAGAAGTAAATTCAACATCCGATGATATCCTTAAACCAACTATAGTGCAGGAAATATCACCATCCGAAACGTTTAGGAAACACCTAAGATATCCACATGCTATAAATAAGAGTAGTACCAATAAAAAACTTCAAAAGATGCCTAGTGCAATATCATCGGCTAAATGGAGAGAGTACTATAAAAAGGCGGAAGAAATTAAAAATAAAAAAACAGAAGAAGTCGAGAAGAGAAAAGAACTAAGAAAAAAAGCCAAAGAAAATAAAGAGAATAAGAAAAAACTCAAAACAAAGACAACTGCTAGAAAAAAGCCCTCTAAACTAATGCAAAAGCCTTTGTTACCTCAAAAAAAAGCAAAAATTAAATGTGCAGAATGTGGGGAAGAATTGAAAAGTGAGACTGAAGAAGAGGATGAAATGAATATTGGTTGCGATAATTGTGAAAATTGGTTTCACATGAAATGCACCGAATTTTATGGGATACCATATGCAGAGGCCTCGGAAAAAACATATAACTGTGTTAAATGTACCTAATTTATTTATTTTTGTTACCTACCTACTAACAAATGGTTCCTGATAATGTGATTTATTTAAGTTTACCTGCTTGTTTTTTGAAGAAGAATTTTTTTTTTTTAAATAATATAGATATCATTTAAACCACATTTTGAGTTATTTATTGCGCTTTTTAAATCCCATTAAATAAGAAAAAACTGCTGTCGACAAACAGGTCTGTTTTTCGACGGTGGGTATCATTTTTTCAGAAATCTAGAAAAACTGCTGTCGACAAACAGGTCTGTTTTTCGACCAGTTAGGTCGAAAACTGGGAAGGCAAAGGTCGTCTTGAGGCAATTTGTGGTCGAAAACCGGCAAAATCGACAATTTTTTCTTTTTTAATAGTTAAAAAATAGAGTATGACTTCAAAAATTTCACAAAGATATATTTTTTATTCTAAAATGTTTAAGGAACAATATGTAACCCTCCTTGATATCCAAAACAATAAAAACATATAAAAATTGGGCTTCAAAGTTGAAACTTTTGTTAAGTGGTCGAAAACCGGCGAACTTACCCTATATTATGATTCATTTGCAATCCAAACCTGGATCCCGCAGGATTGGAAATGTCGAGTCCCGCAAATACCGGGACTGAAATTATCTTGCGGGATTGCATTCCCTATTCCTATTATTAGAGGTTGTTTCATTTCTAGTTTCTGCAAAAAATGGATTATTAAAATGCATTCAAAGTATTTGTATTAGGAGCCTTAGGTGCTTCAAATTTGTAATTTCGAATTTTGTCTTGACTAAAAGTCTGTTTTTTTTTTTAAAGATAATTCCCCAAGTCAAAAATATAGTAACTATGTTGGCAACACAAGCCTTTTCTACATAAAAAATTTGAAAGCTTGGCTTGACAATTTTACATTGTATTGCCAACATAATGTCATTTTGACTTTTATCTTTAAAAAAAAAAACACATTTCATGTCAAGCTGCTTGCACCAATTTAAATAGTGAGTGTGAGTATTTTAACCATACTACGATTCATGACGTCATAGTTACTCAAATAACAGGTGGAGTGTATTTGACAAGAGATTTCATCAAATTTGAGCCCCAAAATGGGGGGGTTGATTTTTTGTGTCTTGCTCAGAAATTGATGTTTTCTATTAGAAGTATCCAAATTGGTTCATTCTGTACAATAACATAAATAAAAGCCTGAGAGTAGTCTCGGTCTTTTATTGATTTATTGTGCATTCAATTATTTTCCAAGCATAATATGCTCAAAATATGTTGGATGTTTAATTGATTAAATTTAAACGTGATATAATATATGAATACTTTATTAGCGTTTAATATCAAACTCTACAACATCACTTTTGATAATCAATTTGGTATTCAGCTCCTCCAAAAGCAAACATGTCAATTCATATCTAGTGTCCTTCAACAAATCATCCAAATAAAGAATGTTCAATTCAGGCATTTTGTACACAGCCCCCAAGCCTCTCTCTGTAACGCCCATACAATCTCTCAAATCCAAATACCTCAAACTATGAGAGAAAATGTTACTCACAACATCCATACAAAAGTCATCGATGTGTTTACAATTTTTGAAACTAAGCCATTCTACATTGTTCAAGTCTCTCAAATTGTCTAAACCTTCGTATCTAAGACTCATGTTTGAACAGTCTATTGCCTGCAAATACATGTTTTTCTGGTATTTAGTTGGTAGAACATATTCCCCGTTAACGGCTTTGATCCATTTGTTATCATTGTGAAATTTGACTGCCCCACCACGGAAAACTATGAAATGGGCACAAGCTAACTCTGGGCCTAAAATAACACAAACATCTGTTTTTGGACCATATAAACTAATTGAAAAATGTTACCTAATATATTATGTCGTTCTTCAATGTACTGTTGTAAAAAAGTATCCTCAAATTCCTTCTTTCTGTGCCACCATTTCTTAATAGAACTAGGGCTGAAGTCGATGGGTTGTTGAAGCCACGTTAGAGTAGTAACATTATTATCCTCTTTATAAAAGGTTCTTAAAAAGTCGTAATAGCGAACGTTTGGTCGGCTCCTCCATTCCAAGTCTTCCTTTTTTAGTTCCTTGGATTTGTAGGGCTTTACGGCTGTTTTGGTATTTGTATCCTTTGGGGATGTCGATTCGTTCTTTGTCGAGAACCTATTACAGGAACATTGATTGCTGACTATTCGCGTAATTGGCCGCTTTGAAAACAGTTTAATCATTCTATCTTATTTTCTTCTGTTTATTTCTTAATAATAATTGAATTTTTTTAAATTGAAGGCCATTATTTTAAGGTTATGTAAGTCTTCACGGGTCTTGACAGTCTTAATTTATCAGTCAACAGGTCAACTCCCCTTGCGTTCGGTATTTTGCTTAAAGAGCATAGCGTGCAGAGCGGAGCCGTAATCACGTGATCAGCGAGCGCACAGAGCAGTTAAACGCTGTATCAGAGAGCTCAAAATTTTAATAAACGAACGTGAATGAGCCTGCATCGAGTACACTTTTCAAATAAACGAACGGTAAATTTATGCTCGGAGAACTCAGATCAAAATACCGAACGCACGGTCCAACGTGTCAGTTGTATTCCTTTCAAGAGGTGCTTTCCAATGACCCATTTGAGTTACACCTGAGCAGCTCAGGAGTGCTCCACAATTACTTTGCGCGTTCCAGTGCTTAGACTGTCGTACACTTGAACTACTCATTTCTGTTATCCCCTGCCCCTTCGTGCACCAACCTTTATTTCAATGCTCCATGCTTTTGAAGTCCGAAATGGTGGGGGTTAAAACGAAAGCGTTCCAGTGCTGCTTATGCCGAACAGTTAAGGAGCGTCACACTCCAGGAGCATGATACTCTAACAATTTAGAGGCACTGGAAAGCAGCAAAGAATGTAAAAACAGCTGCTTTCGGGTGCAGAGTGCGAAGCTCCTAGAACACTTCCAGAGTGCGAAGCTCCTAGAACACTTCACACCTTTTGCTCCATGCGTTTTGCACTCGAACGCTTAAAACCAAACGGGTCAAACTATAACCCGAGTACTTCGGAGTAACTCAGGAGCGCTCTAAGGCGGTACCCGAAAGCAGCTCAGAACACTAGAGCTACTCTCTCCAGGGTTGCATTCACGATAGACGCCCGGGCGTACTCCAGCGTCCGGATAATAAGTTCACGAATCGGGATTAAGCTTAGTACTCATAACCGCGAATTTCGCATTTTTTTAACATTGCTTCGACAATAGGGAACAATCATATTTTTCAAATTATTTTTTTTCTTATTGCTTATGTTTTCAAATATAAAATACATATGTTTTCTTTTCTATTATGTCCTCATTAAAATAAACAGAATTTATAAAATTTCAAATTATTTCCGTTGGCGCGAAAACGATTATCTTCAAGATGTCGGTACTTGTGACGTCAACTGTTTGTAAATACAACGTTAAGGTCTGTCCTCACAAGAGTCCCTGACACTTTGCAAACTGTCAGAAAAAGTCGCTAGTACCATCGACTGCATTAAATCTTTGCATGGTATGTGGTTTTTACGTGGTGTTTCTGTATTTGGCGTATTGTGACATTTTGTGTTTCAAGTTTGTCATGATTGATACAGGATTTACAGAAGCGCAGTCTGACAATCCCTCTATAGACCCATTTATGGTGATTCAATATCAGTCGTGACATGATGTGAGCTGATCGTGAACCAATCGTTCTTCAGGACCCAAGAGTGAACCATGAAAGCGTAGACACGTTCCTTACTCACGGTCAGTGTAAACTACCCTGAACCTTGGTTTATGAACAGTTGACGTCACCAAAAGCAGCCATGTTGAACGTAGCTTTTTCGCGCGAAACTTTTCAATTTGAAACTAATAATTGCCGTATGAGAATAATATCGATAAATTAAATGCAAAACTGCTCATATTCAATATTTTGCAGAAAAATGTGCACCATAGAAACAAAATGAACCATATTTATTTCTTATGAGAATTCCCCGACAATTTGACTGTTGATTCACGCATAAAACGTCAAATTGTCGAAGCAATGTCAAAAAAGAGCGGATTTCGCTGCTTCGCAGTTATGAGTACTAGGCTTTAGGCATTCCAACCTCCTGTCAAAGAAATCCAAAATGGCCGTCATTATTTGGAGTTTCAGGATTTGTAATAATTTAAATTTCAAACATGGTACACATCTTAAATGAATTATTTGGCCAAAGAAGACAAAAATGGATTAGTGCTATGAAATTTTGTTTCTTCCATATACCGGTTTGCACGTTTGCAGATTCTTTGCAAGTTGCTCCAAGTTCAACTTATAGGGTGTCAGGGTTGGATGGGACGACCGGGCAACCGGGCGAATGCCCGGTGGGCCGGTATAACTCTGGGAAATGTCAAAATAGTTACCGACTATCGGATGTCGGTTCTGTTGGTTTTATCTGTAAATTCTGTCAACAATTTTTCATTTCATATTCGCGTTCCCTAAGTAACCGGAGTTTTCAGTAACCATCTGTCAACCGGATCGGTTACTTTAGTTAACATTTGGTTATATTCGAACCATAGCCTTAAGGTAAGCGCATACTAGCCGGAGCCGAATCAGCCGCACGCACCGCTCAAATCGCATCGTTTTTTTGTTAATGCGCACACTATAGTGGAATTTTTCCTGCCGTAGCGGAAGCGCGCCATCATTTGAGGTTAGCCAGTTGCTTTCATATTTTCCTGAAGAAGAAATTGCTGTAATTTGTATGTTGCTCGAAACAAAGGAAGGAAAAAAAAGAATTTCCTCCCAAGGGAACTTGCAAGTGAAGTAAAATTTTCCAAATTTGTTTTAAATCGATAGTTTATGCTGCACAATATTCATATGACCAGTTTTTATTTAACTGATACCGCCCTTGTTACACAAAAAAATAATATTAAATTTGAAATAAAAATTTTCCTGCCAAAACAATGCTTCTATGATGGATACCTGTTTTGACGTCACGATTCTGTAAGCAAACCCGTCAATAGAGAAATCTGTGATAGGGAACTTGCACGTTAAAAAAATACAAAATCAGTCCTTCACAATATTCTTCATCCAATGCGATAATTTTCATAAAAAGCCAACTTTAACACACTTGCATAACATAAAAATAGCACTGCGTCAGCAGGAGTTCATTTGCTGCGTATTTGATGTTTACAAAATCTCAACGTCACAAGCGCTGTCAAATTGGGATTTCGTGTTTTCGCGCCAAAGTATTTGATTTGAATTTCAATAATTTTTTTTTTCGTACAACGCATAAATTAAAATGGAAAAAAAGAAAACTATGTAATAACTGATCATTAGAAGTATCTAAAAAAAAATAATTTGAGAAATATGAAAATTCCCTATAAGCGCGTGAAGCCCCAGAGCTGTTCCGGAGCTCCTCCTAGGTGTGAAAGGAGTACAAGAGTACAACTATAGGGAGACCAGACGTAATTACGAAGCTATTTCGAGTTGCTCCGGAGTAGTAGCTCTAGTGGGAACACAGAAAAGCAGACTAAGCGCATACGAAAAGAATTTTTACAAAGCAGCTTGAAAGCTGGGGTAGCTTCTGCCGAAAACGCCTAGTTGACAAAAGGCGCTTTCCAGTTGTGTGCCAATCAACGACATGAACTTTATTTTTCAGAGAGCTAGATTAATTATTTTGCTTTTTTTTTTTTTTTTTTACGGATATGCGCACTCGCAAGGAAATGTCCTATCACGCTCGAGAAGCGGCAAGTGCGCGGAAATGTCGGTGTATGTTGGTCTTGAAACGGTTCAGGTTGTAACCTGCAGGGAAAACCGTCGCAGGGAGTTTATTCCACAGCGATGCTGCTCTCCAGAGATATGAATTCTGATATAATGAGGTTCTTGGTGTCTCTAGTTTGACAGTAAATTCACGGTTACCGTCTGTTTGACGGGTTCGCCTGGTAGGTGCTACTCTCGGTTGAATCATACGTGCCAACTCTTCAGAGCATTTTCCGTGATAGTACCTGTAGAAGAGAGATAAATCGCCCACAGATCTGCGATGTTCGAGACCATCCAAGTTACGAGTAAGTGCGGGGTCATTGATCAGCTTGATAGCTCGTTTTTGCACGGTATTCAAAAGCATTAAGGTATGTTTGGGTGCTGCACTCCATATATGTGAGCAGTACTCCATAGTTGGTCGAATCTGGGCTTTGTAGAGTGTCAGCAATTGGCTTGGTGTGTACAGATGTCTTGTACGAAATAGCACCCCCAGATTTTGGGAGGCCCTTTTAGCAATATCTGCCACGTGACTGTGCCAAGACATGTTGGTCTCTGCAGTAACCCCCAAGATGTTCAACTGACTCTGTAATGTGACAGCACTTCCAGATAGCATGATGTTTGGCTCACCGGTGCTGGTCTTTTTTGAAAACAGAGCTGCTTTGGTTTTCTGCGCGTTGAACTGTACAAGGTTTTTGTTACCCCAGTCCTCTATTATCTCCAGGTCGTTATTTATCTGCGATATTTGAGTTAGTCTAAGATGATGGAATTCACGTGCGGAAAGACCTGTGGGTGGTATGAGTGAGGAGACTACATTGCCATCGTCTGCAAAGCAATAAAGTGGATTTACTGTTTTATCTACCCTATAGTTTAACGGATCTGTCTTTTTTCCTTTCTTTGGAATGGGTTGTACTGCGGCAGACTTCCATGATGATGGATATACTCCTTGCCTGTAAGACAAATTGAATAATTTTGCGAAAGTTGGGGTGAGTTCGTTGGCGCAATTTTTGAGTACTATTGCGGGAATACCATCCGGACCCATTGCTTTGTTTGTATCCAGCTTTTTTAGGGATTTTCGTATTTCTCTGTGACAAAAGGGTACCTCTGGCATACTATGGGAAACCCTTTCAATGAACGGTGGAGTTTTTCCGTTTGGCACTGTTAGGTTGGAGTTGGAGGAAAACATTTGGGCAAGCATATTGGCTTTTTCCTCTGATGTTGTGGCTAAGTGATTATTTTTATCTGTAAGTGGTGGTATGGATGACTTGGTGAAGTTAGATCCAACAGCTTTTGCAAGAGACCAAAAAGACCTAGAACTACTTGGACAATTCAGCAACCTGTTTTTTATTCTTTGATTGTATGTTTCTTTAGCGGAGTCAATAGTAATTTTGCAGCTATTTCTGGCTTCTATAAATTCTGTGTGGTTTTGAGCGGTTTGTTGTCGTTTCCAAAGGTTATATGCTCTGTGTTTTTTCTGTACAGCCGTTTGACGTTGACGTAACTTGGCTGTTGAACCAAGGTTTTGCATTAGCTCTACGTTTAGTTGTATGTGAGATATATGCGTCCATTCCAGATAAGATTATTTGTGTTATTTCATTACAGCAAA